AAGCGTCAGCTAAATGCAATGTAATGTAACTATGTATAAAAAAGTCAGTGCAATGTAATGATACTAGGTCAAATGACATATAACCCTTTTATATAACAATCAGCAGAAATTAATAAATTAGTCAAATTAAATTAATACATTTGAATGTTTACGCTCCCACCAACGCTGTAGTACCAACAGATCATCAGTGTTAGTCATCCCATCTTTCTTTCCGTGTTACAAATAACCAACTAATGGTGAACAACTTCTCCGTATTTTCCCCCCTTGCCTTTCCTCATCCCTATTTCCTCATCCCTATTTCCTCATCTACACCGACCTCCCATATGTGTAAAGTTAGGGAGCACAGCGCTGGCAGGTAAACCTTTTAGAAAGAAAACATTTTATGATATTGTCCTTGGGAAGCAATTTTTAAATGTAAAGATATGAAAACTATGAAAAAAGGGGAGTGTGTTGGCAGGGAGAGAGCGACTGGCAGGGCAGTTTTTTTCCTTTTAATAAATTGCTGCTGTCAGCTTTGCACTCCTTTTATATGAGCAGGGATAAAAAGTAAACATTAGATATATAATGATAAGAGGTATAATGACTTTTGTGACTTTTTGGGGGGAGGTTATTTATTCTAAGATGCTTTATGGATCATTCCAGGTCATTTTTGGTACATATTGTCATGCCCTGTAATGTATCCATGGTGCCTTTGACAAAAATCTGTTTCCAAATATAGATCTCAAAACAAGTCTCTTTTTACAGTATATACAGGCCTTCAGTGTTTTGTGGCCAGCCACCTCTAACAGTCAAAGCTTACTTTCCATGTCCCCTGAGCTGGGTGACTTCAATTTTGCAATTTGCTTATACGAATAGCAATTGTTTAGCATTACAAGAAAGACACATCAATATGACTTGTAGTAATTGGGTGAAAACTTTCAAAAAGACAAACATGGTCTGTAAAACTTTTTATTATGGACTGCTTAGGGGAAATTAATTCAGCCTTTACAAAAATAAATTGTCAGAAGTTAGTTGGATTGGTTAGTTAGATTTAGTTGGTCTATAATGTCAACACTGTTTAAATGAAGTTGCTCTAGGGCAAGCACTGAAACTAAAAACACTGTTTGAAAAATCTTTGCTTTATTGGTATGGCACGAAGTAAAACGTTTCATCCATCTCGGCATTCCTTGTCTAAATAACACCCTTCATAAACGAGATAGCTGTATTTCGTTGTTCTTAATACTGTAAACCACATGTTCCATGCTGTTGTAAGGAGAATCTGAGGCACTGCTATTGCTCAATGTCAAAAATAATTTATACTTGTCCAACAATACATCAAAAATCTAAATAGGTATAGTTTTCACAAATGAATTCTTTCAATTGGGCCAACAGATTTCTCTGAATACCGCAACCTCCACATCCTTTTAGAAAATTCCAGGGTCTAGTGTCACCCAATGCCAAAAATGAGAGCTATTTGAACAAGTTGAACCCAACGTCAAAAATCCCAACCTAAATTCAAACACACAGAGACACTTTTCACAAATAGAGCTATCTGCATCTGCACTTGGCAAAAAGGGGAGGAAAAATTCTACCCTTGCACATGGTAATCATTACGGAAATGAGAGACAGAAGAGGTTAAAACGCTGTGATGGGGGGAAAAGCAAAGAAATTCACACTTCTGCGCTGGGGCTTGCTAATGTCTCTGACCCCTCTACGCATAAACAGTTTAATTAACATGTATACATAACTTTCACTTTAACTGCTCATGGCATGTCAAATCAAAGTGTCTGTCAAAGCTGTGAAACAGGGAGTTGATACTTTGCAGGTCCGCAGTTCAAATCCAGCTCTGTGCAACTGCTCCAGCTGGCCAGTGAAGCTGGCAATAAGACATGAAGGCAGACACACAGGCTGGTGGACGGGCAGCCTGTCACTCTGTCAGTTTGACGAGGTAAACACCACCCAATAAAAGCTTTGCAACTTCCAGCTATACTTTCCCCAACTCCAGCCTTATTGAACTTGGGATTGACCATAAAATTACTTGTATAGAAATGCTGCATTTGAAACAAACACCATGCCGTAAAAGTAAAAATAAACATGCATAATAATGCCTGAGTGCAACTTCTTAGACGGATATCAGTGTTATACATTACACAATAATATTTCAAATGTAAAAGTGCTTTGTTGTGTATTTGTTCAACTGATAAGAAAAAGGCTATTCATCTTCAGTCAAATTGAATCTTTCATTAGTCTAATTTAAGTTTAAATTATTGGGAGAAAAAGTGATAATTACATACAATCCTGAGAAGCTGGAGTTTGCTACAAAACAATGCAAACATTCAAAAACAATGCAAACATTCTCTTCACGTTACACTAAGAGGGGAGGGACAGGGTCAAAGTTTCTTCCCGTTTCTGTACATTATTAGGGAAAATGAATCAGTCAGAGCTATTAGGACTCTCCCTGATGTTTTTCCCACACACACATTCAGTCAGTTTGGCTGTCACATTGAGGAAGGGACCCCCAAGCCAGCCTGCCTCTACAGGGTGTTTAGCTCCAGAGGAAAACCGAATGTGTGTTCACACACACACACACACACACACACACACACACACACACACACACACACACACACACACACACACCCACAAAGACACGCACACACTTACAAACAGGCACACACTGAGGCCAGCAGGAACACCGGTACTGGTGTGTGATGGCTCAGGAGAGGAGGGAGAGTTATTAGCTTAGCCCTGAACCACCTACTTAATATAGGGGCCGGCAGTGATTGCTAACAGAGCCTGGCAGAGGTGACAGCTTTTGGCCCTGCTTGAGGAAATCCAATTGAAAAGCAGCCAAGAGGAACAACAACCCCGAAACAGATGTTGCTCGCTACCACCAGCGCAACTTGGGTACACACAACCCAGCGGCAACAAACCACGATGGCAAATCTGACACACAACATACACACAGTGGACAAAGAGTGGAGCACACACTCATACTGTAGGGCCACATGATGCAACTGTACAGAGAACGCATGGACCACCGTAAATGGCCACTGAAACGTAATTTGAAAACAATGCACAAAAGTGATCATTTATAAAGCTCATTCCTGATGATGTTCAACATGTTTTTTTGTTATTGTTGTTTACATGTATCATCTAATGCCTTGATAAATACACATGAGATCTAAAGAGAATTTATCTCAGTCGTGTTCTCTGACCAGGGTTGCATGAAACTGACCAACAACGCAGTATTTAACTGAAAATATTAGCACAATACAAAAGTGAATCACTGTATGATATTTAATTAAATTAAAACAATATTCAAAATATAAAAGTAAAATGAAACAACGAAAACAACGAACATACAGACACAGTTTTCCTCCAGTTTGAACATGATTTAAGGATCCGTAAACCCTATCAATCCAAGGTCAGGTTTCTTTTTCATTGTGGAGCACAAAACACTCTGGCAGCTAACCCAGAAATGGAATTAAGAAAAGAAAGACGAAAATAACAAGGTATAATTTGTATGTCTGTTAAAAACATCTATATTGAGTGGAGGCCAAAACAAAACCTTTCCCCCCAGAGAATACACCCACTCAAACATCAATCCGTCCACCTATCCCTCTTCTTTTCTCAACATCTCTAGCAGGGCATTACAATGAAAACACACAGTCCCTCAAATCATTACAGGCCCTTGCTCCAATATTAATTGAGTTTGGCAAGGCTGACCATGCCTCAATCATAATAACATTCATTTATTTTTTTCTATTACCGCTACAGCAAAAGGAAGAGAGGGAGAGAGAGATAGAGAGAGTGTGGGAGGAAAATGGGCTAAAATCAATTCTGACATATCTTTATTGCCAGTCGATGACAAATGATGGCACATTTGCCATTGCTCTAGTATTGTGTCAGTGTATGTCGTATCGATTTTACATCAGACGGACAAATGTTATTGATGAAGCGCCTAAGTAATAGATGAGCACTCCATTTTACTTGTTTTAATGTTTAAATAAAACCGAATGAAGGGTGGACCAGTGTAGCAGATCTTTCCCTTTGCTAATACACATGATTTCTTTTACTTTTTTTATTTAAAATGTACAGAATTCCGAGGCGTTTACACAAACCGGGCCTGTTGGGAGTGGGTAACTACACCCTGAACCTGATCACACTGTGCACATGTGGTAATGTAACAGGGAGGGGNATGATCAAAAACATGATAATCAAATTGCAACAATAAGTTGGAAATTGCAATTCTAATGCAATACAATAGGGTATGTGTTGCAAATTAACCACCCACTGTCTATTATTGTACGTGGGTGCTTGTGTGCTAAAGTGTGTGTGAGTGCGTGTTTTTGTGTGAGAAAAGTGTATTCGACAACAAATCGGAAGGTTGCGAGTTCAAATCCTGCCTGGAACAGTACTACTAGTGTGCCCTTGAGCAAGGCACTTAGCCCTCGGTTACTCCAGGCTTTTCCCTGTAATTGGTAATTGTAAGTCGCTTTGGAATAAGGCGTCTGCTAAATGCCTAAATTGTAAATTGTAAATTATATTTTTGGGAGAATAAACCCCACAGATCGTCAACTCCGGTGTGTTTCACTCATTAACAACGAAACACAGAGCAACAAGAACATTGGGGGGGGGAAACACTGAATGACATCACATTACAGTTACAGTTGAGGATTAAGTCAACAGTTGGAAATTGAAACAATTGTGATGGTGATTGGTCTTTTGTTATTGTTTATTTGTTTCTCATGGGTCCATGTGGTATAGGAGAGAGAATAGACCAATCAGAATGTCGTGAGGATCGATCCCTTGCCCCTCCTGTCTATATCAAAGGGTCCTTCAAGGACAATGTCAAGATACTGAACCCCAAATAGCTGTGTGAGTGTGTGTGAACTCCCTTACTATAGTGCTGTGCTCTAAATGATTCTCAATTTGTACTTTAAAATAGAAAGTAAGAAGGATAAAGATATGGTCACAGGTCTCAGGGTGAGATCCCTTGTTATGCCTGTTGTCTTCAGCATGTCAGAGACCAGCAGAATTGTCAGTTTAAAGAGGATGGATGTCCCAAAATGTCACCTGACAGCCCGACAGACAGGGCAATTCAGTCCCTGGAGGACAGGAGAGCAGCCGATAGGAGGTGAATGGGCAGTAGCTTGGGCTAGAGGTCGTCACTGTTGCTATCGTCGGCCTGTCACTCTGAATGGGCTCCAAATCATGTTGTCAATGGTGATGCATCGAGATCTCCCTCTGGCAAAAATTGGATACTCCAAACTCGACTTGATTGATGCGTTGACCAGGTTGTGTCTGCCTGTCCTCAGGATGTGTCCTTACCTTCGTTCAAAGATGAAGCAACACAGACACACTCTGAGCTGTGAAAGGGGAGAGATGTACTTTTAAAAGTTTTATTTTTGTGTTAGACCAGTGGAGGCATTGTTGGCTAGTCAAAGAATCTGCTGTATCCGTCAGCCTTGAAATTTATAGGTTTTTATCTGCCTTTTATTTTTTCAGTACATCTTTTGTGACACGGTTCAATCGTTGCTCTGAGAATGTTGTTTCCACTGTTTCCATTGAGGCAACAGTATTACATTATGGCTTGAAGGCGAATGCACAGCTTGTACATTCAATAGTTTGGAATGAAAAATAGCTGTTTTTCTGTGACCAAAAGTGCAGCCTTTATGCATCCAAGGGCATGGCATTCTTTGACCATGGGTACAAGCCGTGGAGTTTTGTGAAAATGAAATATCTTCTTTTATGTGTCATTTTTTTCATTATGCTCCCTCTGTCTCTCTCGTTCTCTGCTTTCCTCCAATGGGTTTTCTTGATAGTCTCGTCTGGCTTGAGTTGCTCTCTTTATATACCTTTGTGTGTGTGCGCTTTGTGTGTGTGGTTTTTCTGTCACTGTCTTTGTTTCCTTATAATCTTTTGCTATTTGTATTGGTATCATCGGTTTCCAATGCATCTACTTTGTGTGGGTATGTGTGAGCTTGACATCTTTTATCTGTGTTGGTTGATGAGCAATCGTCTATTTGTGTGTTTCAGTGTCTAAGAACACAGACTGAAAACAGGCACTGTATACTTTTATATTTCAATTTAGCTATGTGGAACCTTGGGTTTGAGCCTTTGATGGCTTGAGGGCTGAATTGAGTAGCTCCAACATGTAGACGGAACCAACACTAACATTGTGGAGGTGGCCCAATTTGGACTATTTCAAGTCTTTCTTCTTGTCTCATTAGGGCGGTGGTGGCAAAGTCGATAGGGAGTTGGCTTGGCAACTGGAAGGTCACCAGTTCAAGTCCCGGCAAGACCAAGTGCTACCGAGGTGTCCCTGAGCAAGGCACCGTTCCCTACACTGCTCCCCGGGCGCTGTTCAAAATGGCAGCACACTGCTCCTAGGAAACTATTTCCCCACAAGGGATTAATAAAAGTCCATCTTCTTCTTCTTCATTACTTGACAGTCTACTTCAGCTCCGTGTTGCCAGAAAAGAGTAGAAATCAAGCTTAATCGAACATGTTGCTCCACTCATTACTTTTTATCTTTTGTGGTTTACTAGAAGATAAGAGAGAGAACAACTGTAACAACTTTGTCCTCCTCTCTCTCTTTCTCTCTCTTTCTCTCTTTCTCTCGCTCTTTCTTTGTCTGTGTTTGCAGGGCCTGTTCATCTTCCTGATATATGGGGTGTACAACACAGAGGTAAGTCTGCATTGTGTCTCAAGGCTGTCGGAGTGAATGAGAGAAATGACAAGTTTCTGATGGGCTCCTTGCTTAAAAGCTGTGTGAGTGGGGTGTGACAGTACGAGTGTGTATGTGTGTGAACGCGTCTGTGGATGGGAGGAGGGATGGGAAGGAGGGGAGGGGACATCGTTTCCACGCGAGCGTCCCACTGCCCTTCATGCTTGGACTAACTTATATGCATCCGAGTCCGACCATTAAACACTGACACGCCGCGCTTCTCAGCCACTCATTCCTCACCCACATTGGCTAATATTTCACTGCCTCCTTAAGTTTTTAAACTCACGGCCCTCCATTTAGCATCCTGACAAAGCTGCTGGCCAGGGCTTTGGAGGGCCCCAAGCAGAAACCATAGGAGAAAAAACAAAAAAATATGTAATCAACAATATGCTATGAAGGAGGAGGACATATTGTATTGAGATGCCGCTTTATTACCATTTAGATGCGCCTTAGCTGTGTAGGGGTGGAGGGTTTGGTTGAGTGCCGAGACGAAAGACAGAGGGGTACAATTTAATGGATGAGACTCAAGTCATGAAAATCCCTCTTGGTCAAATGTGGCTCTTAGTCTATACATAGGGTTACGTTTAGATTTCCATGTGGGATTTTGCATCTGCGCCCTCTTAAAACACAGCACTTTTATTTTTTACTTGAGGTCAACTTCCCATTACAAACTTTAGGAAAAAGAGGAAATCTAGAAAAAAATAAATAAAAAATTCTCTCAAGCACTCCAAACTCACCCTGATATCATAACAATCCCTGAAATGTCTGACAAAGGATATGATAATAGCAGAAATGTTTTATAAAGCTACCATTTGATCAAAACATACATTATTTGATAGACACAATAATAACCTCTTGTTGCTTTTGACTATAAAAGATCAATGCTTTGACCTAATGTAAAAGGTCATGATCACCTTATAGAGCAGCTTTTTTAAATAACTGTGTTGTCTGACCATCAAAGAGGACAACTCACATATAACAAGTTCACTTCCTGTTATATCCCATGTCCCTGTTTCATAGGTGATGCGCCCACAATGCAGAGAGAGGGAAGAATGACCCTTGGTGCTTTAGAATAAATCTACACCCTCAATCTTGCTTAAGTAGCGTTTTTATTGCTTGGGAATTCATTTCTTACACTCCAGTTGCCCTTGACCCTGGGTGCTGCTCATGTACATGTTCCAGTTTTCAAAAGGTCCACATTTCTTTGTTATTGTTGAAAAGAGGTCCGTAATTTAGAAATGATTCACATCCACACATTTTTCTTTTATTTTCCGTCAACCTGCGTTTCCTTTTGTCCTTAACTGTTCAAACATGTGAGAGAGAGCACAGCTGGCTTCAGGTTTCACCCTCTCTGACACTCAGAAGGAAATATTTGCCTAATAAAAAAAAATCCTGAAACACTAAATGGGAATGATCAAAAGTTTGAATGTTTCTTCCCTGGAATCAGAGTGTCAGGGAAAGGCAAATATTAAACAGGGAAGTGAAGCTAACATGCATTGATGGCAGTAGATAGTAACACATCATTAAATTACATTATCACACACATGGAGTTCATGGAGGGAAGAAAAACTTTGCGAAGTTGCTGTTAGTAGTTAACTGGGTAGAACACATTATTTATCCATCTTAGCGTGAACACATTTCGCTTTGATATGTTAAAAAAGGTGTGAAATTAACAACTGCATCTAAGTAAAAAAATGCTTCATTCATGAGGTTGGTTTCCACGCTCAATAATTACCAATATGGAAGTCATACTGCATTTGCTGCTATTACCCTAAAATGCAGCCTTTTACTTTGCTAATTACTTTACAATAGCTTTCCATTATTCATTGCAATTAGCTTTTCCTTGGTGGTCACCTTGTAATTCTATGCTTTGATGACCTTTTATTTCCATCAGCTCCAAGGATGTCGGCAGGTGTTGTTGGGCGTGCTGCTTTCATATGGTAATCGCCCATTTACATGGCGAACCACGCTTTGCATCATTGCGAAACCTTGAGTGTGCGCAACACCCCTTAAACACATAACAATCATCTAAAACAATGCCCTTCCCCTCATTGTCAAATCATTAATTAAGTTGTGTCATGTAATTGCCTCAGCACGCCGGCTGCTTTGGATATCAATGGAATCCCCAGGACTTACTTTCCCCATTAAATTGTGTAAAGACTGTGTCTATCCAACATCTGCACCGCGTCGAAGGCCTTCTGCGTATCTTGTCAGAAATAATAGGAGGGTTTTGGAAACATGATGCTGGTGCTGTTGATTCTGTGCTGTCACAAGGCTTGGGCTCTCTTCATTATGTGGTCCTTCAACGTTGGAGCGTATGCAAAACATCCTCTGTATACACATGCTGTCTCTGAGACTGTGTGTGTGTTCAGTGCGGTGTCATAATTTATAACACGCTGCTACTTAATGAAGCCATAAGCCATAATGCATATTCACTAACGTGGTGGGCTGGGCTGGGACGGGCTGTAGTGATGAGTGCCCATCCGCTACAAATTTACAGTGAACGCTGACAATGTGCACACACACACACACACACACACACACACACACACACACACACACACACACACACACACACACACACACATACACATACACAGACCTCATAAGTGCCAAAGGCTTTTCATAGAAGACTTCATCCTACTTAACTGAGCTGCTACCAACACACTGAGTACTGCTGGTGTATTTTGATATTTTGTTTATTGTAACAATAATAGGAAGTTGTTGCAATTTTTTATTAATAATATATATTTTTTAAATGGTTTAATTGAACAATATTCAGCAGACCTATTACATTTGATTTGTAATTAATGCATCCAAAATTCGAGCAGGAAAAGGCATTTATTCATAACTATTGCCGTGAGAAAAATACAAATAACCTTTATTTTCATTGGCGCTATTTCAGATTTTATAAAAGGTCTGTCCAGTAACACTGTCTTTATTTGCAAATTAGTTTTTTTTTGCCTAATTAATGCATAGTTTTATTCAATTAACACATTAGAAAAATGTAAACCCTGCATTATTTGCATCCTGTGACATTAATTACACAATAAAGATGTCAGTTGATATTATTAAACACAGTCATTTGTCATATCTACTTGGATGACATTTAAAAATGTTTGGATAAATGTAATGTAAATAAAGTTAAAGGGCATACACATAATGACTGGTCTCATCAAGCAATGATCCTTCTTTTTTTGTAATTGTCACAGTATTTTAAAAATCATTGATTGTTTATTTTATTTTAACATTTCCAAAAGTATTAAATAAAAAATGTATTTAATAACAATTGAACAAAAAATGAATGAGTTCAGTAAACAATGATTAATTTGCATATTAATGTTGGAAGTGTTTACTGAAATTGTGTACCTGAAGACTGTTCTCTAAAATCTATGAAATGCTTGTCTGGTATTGTGTGTCAAATGAAGGCATGCTGTACACTGTTTCTTCCGAAGTGTAAAAATGTAATCTGTTCTGCTAGGGCGGTCCCTTCTCCTCCAATAGCTCCATTTGTTGGTCCCCGCGCTCTATGCTGACAGATGATAGCTTGAAGTCGTCTCCTTAGTTTGTCTGCTCTATGTGTCACTTTCAAGTCCCATTAGCCACTGGGACATACTGGAACACCTCTCTCTCTCTCTCTCTCTCTCTCTCTCTCTCTCTCTCTCTCTCAGGCACACACACGCGCACATACACACACCTCCCCAACAGCTGTAGGTTACATTAAAATAACGCTCCAAATTTGTTATTTACACATACTCTTTCTCCTTTTTACTCTTTGGTCGCTCATTGTAAGTGTGTTTCATTGAGTGCCGTGTCAGACACACTTAACTCTTTCTCTCTCTCTCTCTCTCTTTTCTTTCAGGTTCGGAGCACGGTCAACAGGATCAAGGAGAGGAGAAAGGCGCTTAATTTTTCAGTATGTAATCTTCTAATTTCTGGGTCTAAGAGTGTGTGTGAGTTTGTTACTTGTTGTGAAATGTTCCTTGCCAATGAAAGCTGGCCAATAAGCAACATTGAACATCTGCTGGCTTCTCACTAGGAGACAGTCCATGTTAGATGCCCTTATCCATCAAACATAGACCCTCCTTAATAGCTCTCCCCCTTCCTCACCCTGCTTATTGCAGCACCTTCATCCCAGCAATGTCAAGCTCCACGGTGGGTTACAAGTTTCTAATCCAGGACAAGCCGTCCCCTGACATTAAAGTGTCAGGCCAGTATTTATACCTCGTTGGACGCTGCTGTTTGGCTGAGGCGATGCGATGCTCTGTGTGTGGGTGTGTGGGTGTGTATGAGCGTGTGTGCTAGATCATATTGTAGGCTACGGAAAGCACTTTAAAAGTACTTAATAGTCTCCAGCACACACCAACAGGCACATACCACACACACACACACACACACACACACACACACACACACACACACACACACACACACACACACACACACATATTTATAGATCTCCTTTGCCCCGCCATCTGACACACACGCACGCACATAAAATGCATCTTGTCCCTTATGAGTGATCACGTTAACTCCACTCCTCTTTGGCCGGCATCACTTCATCCCCTCCCACTGCACCCTGACCCTCACATATGTACCCCCTAATATTCCCCAACCTAACACACTTCAGGTCATTGAAGTAGGAATGAAACCATTTCTGACGGCAGATTGGTTTTTTAAAACATCAAGGCGCACCTACTTCCTTCTGACCCCCCCCCACCTCAGGGCTGGACACTGTAAGGAAGAGAAGAAATTAAATAAATAAAAAGATAAATTAAAGTGAGTGTGTCGGGCGGGTCATTTAGGGGGGCCCCTTGAGACCCCTTCCCACCAGGTGCAGTCTGATATATTGTCTGCTCATGTTATCAGTGAGGCCCCCCCATATACCGTCATTTTTACTGCTTCCTCTCCCCTCTGGTGGTGGCAATTTTCCAATCTTGCCGGGTTCCGCTACCAGAATGCGTTTTTTAGCCATCACCGCCGCCTGACGGTTTCTAGCTAATGCTATTTTGTGCCATAAATCCTGCTTGAAATACTGTATCTACCTGTCCTTTGGTTAGATAGGAGACATTTGGCTCTAGTTGACCGCACATGCTCCTATATATCCCCTTGTTGTAAAACATAGGATTGGGTATCGTGCCTTGCCGGCTGAGGGATAAAGAGGCTTTGGCGGTGTTACTGCATATGGGGTCATTTGAAGACGAATGGCACTTGTCGGAAATAGAGTTTTTTTTATCTTGCATTATTTGCAACGTTTGAAGGGTTAACCCAAAGGGGTAATTCACTGCAACTGCAATTTGGAAATATTTTACCAAAATTAAATCATTTAAAAATGGTATTGTCCTATTTTAAACACCATCACCAACATTATAAACAGTCTATACTAAGCCTGTCATATGTGTTAGATATTTTAACATGTATATGATGATCCTGTGTGATTTCTTTTAAGGAAGGTCAAGCACCAGGCCGACACAATAAGAGCCATTAACTGTATCATAAACCGTGCCCATGAAATCAGATTAAATGTGTTGTATCTGACCTAGCACAAAACATGAAATCATTTGAATAATATAGGAACTATATATTGCTTTTGGTACAGTGATGTGACTCCCCTCTGACCTTGATGACCTCTCATATAAATTCCACCAAACCTAATCACACATTCTCCGCTCTATATCCCGTACTTCTGTCAAGCTGGTTGTCCACACACACACACACACACACACACACACACACACACACACACACACACACACACACACACACACACACACACACACACACACACACACACACACACACACACACACACACACACACACACACACACACACACACACACACACACACACACAAAAACGTTGACCAGCGTTGAATGCCTGTTTGATACCAAGTATCTCCTGACCCATCCTGACCTCCCTCTTGTACACAAACAGCCAGATTGCTTTGTGAAATAAAGCTGTCAGTTGCAGGACCCAAATAAAAAACAGCCCCCAATACTCTGTGCCCCTGACACCACTGAAATATGGATATCAATTGGAAGCGGATTCATTTTTTTTAATCTTAATTCAAGTTTTGACAACAATATATATAGTACGCAGGGAGTTGTTTGGAGTCAGTATTGAGGCTCTAAAAAAGTGATAGCAGTGCATGTATTTATCTCTTTCCACTCATGTGTGTATGACATTCACTGAAGCTAGACCTCCACAACACAAAATCAGCCAGGATGGCAGGCCCTCAGTGTGGAGGCATTCCTGCCCGATAGATGTACAGTATGAAATATAAGAAGCCCTGGAGCCTGTTGAAGCCCCTCAGTCTGTTTGAGAGCTGTGCAAACAAATGGGTTTTCTGTGATTGCCGTTTATTTTGGTCTGGCTGGATGATGCGTGTGCTTATGTGAAACAAGGAGGCCTCTGAGTTAAATTCATAGAGCAGCTGCTCAGGTTTTATCCTGGAATTATGGGAAGGACAATACTGTAATCTACAATAGCCCATGATGTCTATTTATGTTCATTATTAAGTGTGACTGCTTGATGAGACGTATTCTATCGGTGAAGAACTTTGAGCAAAAAAAGTTAAAATGTTCAAATCATCCCTCTAACTTATAAGTTCTTTAACGCGCAATATTATATTATGTTCTTTATTACAAAGGGACAATGCACATTATTTAACATGAGCACTTAAATCTTAAATCATTTTTCATCAGCCTTGTCTGCCAGGTTGATAGCATTAAAGAACATATAAAAACGCACATTTTTATACTCCGAGGCATCTTTAAATCATGTGGATTTATAAAAACAAAACACAATTTGAAAGTGTTTCACTAATAAATCCCTATCGTAGTTAGTACAACAAAGACAGCCAGTGAAAATGAGGCTGCTGTTTGTGATGAGGGAAAACATGTCTTACTAATTAGCATCACCAATAATTGACAAATAAAGAATGGATGGACTTGATATCTTTGTCCTTATCAGCTATCGTGAAAGTTGTCCATTGACTGTGTTTTCCTGTGATCCCATGTAGCTGATATCGCCGTCTCATTTCTTACAGAACTGCGCCAGTTCCCGACCGTCCAGCTCAGTTACCAGCTCTCGTCCTGTCAGTTTCCCGCTAGGAACTACCCCAAGCCAAGAGGAGGAGGCCACCCCTACCCACACTAGCAGCAACACCCCCAGCCCGGGGAAGGAGGAAGACAGGACCAGAGGTGAGTTGTCATACCATCATAATGCAAATCTGTGCTTTTCCTGTCAATACATTTGCTTAAAAAAGTATCTTTAAATGGTCCAGAATTGTCTTTGTCATTTTAAAGAAGATAATGTAATAAGGCAAAACCAAATGATCCAGCATTATACAGAACCCTATTATTTGCTGCAATCTGTCTTGCTCGCTATATAACCCTTTTGCTCAGGTGCAACTGGAACTAAGCGAACACTTGTTCTACAGTAAGTGTCTGTCTTACTTTTAATTGCAATTACTGTTGGGAAGTTTTTTATTACTATCTCCAATGTACCTTACCTTTTCCCGTTGTTTAGAATTTGAACCAGATATCTCTGGAACTGAACATATTAGTAATTCACAAGAGTGGTTGCTAATTTTTATTTTCCGGCTGTCCTTGCATCTCAAAAAGCACAACAAGTCCTTCAGCTCATCAAAAGAACAAAAAAGGCCAACCATCATGTGCTTTTCCAAAGAAATGTGATTTCAAGATTAAATCTGAATATATAAGAATGACAGGCTAATTGAATTATTTTGATGGTTATCTACCTTTTTCTTCCTAATGCTCGCTCTGTTTTCAATAGGGCCGCATCTGGTGCCTCGCTTTTTAAAATCTCAGTTTGGAAGCTGTAGTTTGGGCTGTGAAGGTTTTTCATTTTCACTGTATAGTTTAGTACCTCGAATGCAGCCAAGCCTTTTCACAGATTTATTCAATTGACAGTTCAAGTGTGGCCTGTGTGTGCACAATATGTGGGTGGCTAAACTGCACCTTATTCAGCCAAACATCTCCTGCTTGAATCCCACTCAATGACTTGAGTTCCAAGGACACACTCCTCTCATATTTGTTGAGGTAGTATGTTTTCATAAAGGCATGTTTTTTTTATTCAGGTCTTTATGAAATCCACTTGCAAAAATTATATTTTTTTCTCTGCTTAAACATGTTATGTGCACTGATTTGCAGTTTATTCGTTACACCTAGCTTACTATAATTTAGTCTAATAGGACAACATTTTACATTTAGTCTTAATATATTTCTAACATTGGATTTTTATTGAAACTCTTTGAAAGGTGTAAGTATTGGAATGGTTATTTTGGAGGCTTTAGTTTGTGTAGCTGTCGGTTCTATTTCTTAAAAAAAAAAAAAGGTGTTTTTAAATAAAGTCGACCTTCAATGATATAAATATGTTGTCAACATTTTAGAAAACAGCCTTTAAAATGATAATAAAGTTGAACCGAGTTTAGCTGAGCACATATTCCCCCATTGTTCTACTGGCATATCTGCAAAGCATTACTGCAAGGCACTCAGAGAGTAGCGGCTGGCCTGTTGAGTGAAATCAGACATCAGAAATCTCCTGTTAAACCTGAACACTAACCAGACACCCTGGCTTCAATCTAGCTGCCTGACCCATGCTACACTCAGCAGAGTTAAGAGTCATTTGGTCGTGGAAAAAGATTGGAGACACCAGTTTCAAAGCAGGGAAAGAAAGAGGGAGAGGTCGACCCCTGATTTCATTCTGTAATTTAAAGCCGGTTTTAGTGTCACTTGCCCTGTTGCCCTAGTTGATGCCGCATTGACTGCATTTTTTATATTTTAACCAGGATTTATTTACTTTATAAAAGTGATAAAAACTGAGAAATCATAGACTGAATTATAACTATGCAGAGGTTTATATAAATAACAATACATTTGTCAGTGACAATAATAGAAAAGACACAGCAGACAGTGTGAATACATTGTTGCATTTATTGGCAATGAAACAGAACAATTACATATATAATGGTGCACATCAACTTCATCTTTAAAATAGTCAACTGGGTTATGGTTTGTGACTTGCACAATAATGATATGTACATTTGAATAGTATGTGTGCCATGTGTTATTGCTCCTTGTTGCGGTTTTGTGCACTTCCCAGCCTGGGATTTACAAGGTGTCCTTTGCAGGTGATTTGCATGGTCCTCAATACTATTACTGTCTCGTTCATTCCCTCAGCGCGTAGTAGTTAAATCAGTCCCTACGTCACATTTAGACTGACTGAATGATCCTCCAATGAAACCTGACAAATCAAACTCGGCAGCAGAAATCATGTTTTTGATGTAACTCAATTTCAACAATAATTGATTGTCAGGTGAAATTATTCAGCCCATTTGCTACACCTCCAATCTGCTCCCGACTCAATGCTACAACATGCAAATGCGATGGGCTTCGTGTGATTGAGTGCTGGGAATGGGTTGGCGGCCGAATGCTCATACACTACAAACCTGATCTACTGTATGCGTAATGTCTTCCGGCAGGGCACACATAGGCAAGCGCATGCACGCTCAATTCACTGTAACCTATCATCACGTTGCGCCCAACTCACACAAATATAGTCGTAAATATTAATACATATTCGTTTTTGTACTGGGCTATCTTGATGAACTTGAAGGGAGAGATGATAGAGTGAAGGGCTAGTGGACAGTTTCAGTCAAACATCAACATTTATTTACAATGTATTTACAATATGAACAAAAAACATCTAGACCAAGACTAAATGATCATGTTTGCTCTATCCATCAAATTCAATCAAATAGCATTCATAAAATGTGTCCAGAAAAAACTAGCAAAACCATGCCAGGTACAGAACAAGCAGATTCTTTCATTTTGGGAAGTGGTGCCTTTTCAAGCACAAACAACAAACAAACAGATGGGCCCCATTTGTCCTAACAATAACCACACCATCTCCTAAGTGATAGTAGTAGCTTTCATGTACAAGGTCAACCACTTCTTACAGTATGTCGTTTCCATCTTTCTGTTTACTTAAGTTGGTTGGCACAAATGTCCAAGGCAGACAGCGGATTATGTTGAGGGTACATGGTGAAAAATGTGAACAAAGTAGCACATATTTGCTGTGAGCACAAGAGAAGGACAAGTGCATAATGAAGGAATACGGGGAGAACTGTGGGGGGATTTGAATTGAAAGGGGAAGGGTTGTGTGGGTGTTTGTGTATGTGCATGAGTGGTGCATTCCTGATGAGATGGCCCCATACAATGGCTTAGTTGAAGGTTATGAGTCCTTTAAAGCAGGAATAATATGCTGGATTACTCATGTTACCTCACATCGTGTTCTTGCTTTGTTAAAGCTAATTTGGAACAGTCTGCAAAAGGAATGGAAGTTAAGCAGTTTGGTTCCATTACATGTTTTTAAAGCAAGGATAGATGCTATCCAATCGGAAACTGTTGCTATCTGTAAATGCTACTAGCTATACAAACTGTAGTCAATGTAAATATGCCATATGATGTCCTCTTTGTTTGTATTCATGTTGGAACCTACTTGCAGCAGGTCACCATTGAAAAAGAGGTCAATGATCTCAATGGGTTTTCACCTGAATAAATAAAGGTTTTGAATTGAATTGAATTGAAAGCCTCCTTCTCAACCAACAAAGATGGCCAAGCAGTTCTCTATCTTTTATGGTTCATGTTTTGGGTTCACCATTTTTGCTTCATCCAGGGTTTGACAGAACGGTATTGTTTTTTTCTAAATGTCATACTGCTTCATTTCCAATGTTATCCTCTGCTATGGTGATGGCACATATCCTTAATGTCATTATATTAATGTAATGGTCACAATTATGTTATGCTTTAATGGTTCCCTATTATACTGTTTTTCATCAATATATTATAGTCTCAGAGTCTCAGATATATACAAAACATGTCTCTGAAGTGTTTGGCTCCAAATACTAAACAGATCATGCATTGCAGCATCCCATAATCCCCTCTGTTTCAGCCCTGTTTCAAAAGTGTTGATGCTCTGTCTGTTAGTTTAGATGAAAATAAGGTGCCACTCCCCACGCCCCTCTGAGAGATATTTGGTTAAAAATAACACAATGGTGCTCTAGGAGGAGATTCAGGTGATATTAAAGGACAATATTAACAATTTTTAGCAAAACGAAACGAAGGGTAATAACAAAGGCTCTGAATTAGCCCTGAGTGAAAAAATGCTAACACACTTAGCACAGAACTCACGTTAAAATACCCTTATTGCTTATCGTATCTGCACAGACAAGATATCAATTCGGAAGCTGAGATTACACAGATTCGACAGGTATTAATATTATTACTGTCCGATCCAAACTCGTGACATGAGAAGCTAACAAATACATCACACCACGTAGCATTAGCCAACACGGCAATATGTCCCTTTGTTGTTTTTTGATCAAAAGTTGTCTTCAATGGCATTAAAACGATAAAAAAAAGCTGCTGAAGGTTAATCCAGGTTAATACAATGTATCTGTGTCAATTTGAAATGATTTTTGATAATCCATCAGCAATAAACCTAGTTTTCAGTTTTCAGATTTCAAAGCGTAAGATAGGTTTCGCTTTGGGCAAACTGTGTGCGCATAGCTCTCATTTCCCAATGGTAATGTGTGTGTGTATGTGAAAATTCCCCTTCGATTCTATTGGCTCTGACTGTTCAAAAGAGATGTCAATCATCTAAATCGAAAAATGGGTTCCAGAGAAACGGTAAATACACCCATTTCCACCCAAATGACCCCAGAAGTGTTTTTTTTTTGTTGCTAAACCTCTCTAAAAAGGTCAAATGTCACTTGTTTTGCATCTTGATACAGGGTACTTATTATATGTTATAGTTTGGATTCCTAAAGCTTTTAGTCTGCTATCCCGTCATTCAAGGGTGCACTGTAAAAAAAAAACCGTTGTTTTTACGGTAAAAACCTGGCAGCTTTGTTGCCAGAATAATGATGTAAAAAATATGGTAAACTGTAAACAACTTTACAGAACAACGTGTATATTTTACAGTTTAAAACAGTTGTAATTTACATTTTAAATCTGTAATTTCAACAGCCCTTTTCTGCTGAATTAGCATGATGAGAAAAAAGATTATTAATTTACCCCTTTTAGAAGGGAAGTTATTGTCATTTGTTCTGGGAATGTCATTTTCGAGCCTGAGACCTGAAGAACAGGCTTGGGGCTTAACAGATTAAGAGTAGCCT